TTTTTTTTTTCAAATTTTTTGGAAATATTTTGGACTTTGAATCTATCCCTATTGTTGACGACGCTTGCGTCCGTGTGAGTGCGCCGCTGACGGTCTTGTTCTCCCCGCAGACGCGCCCAAGTTCAGGCAGCGGCCCGTCACGGTGCAGGCCGAGCTGGACGCGACCGTGACGCTGACGTGCGACGTGGACGGCAACCCCGTGCCGGAGATCATGTGGATCCACGAGGACAAGGACCGCGTGGTGGGCAGCCTGCCCAACCTGACCTTCAAGGTGGAGGCGGAGCGCGCGGGCCGGTACTACTGCCGCGCCAGTGTCCCCGGCTACCCGGAGATCGGCGCCGAGGCCGCCGTGCTCGTCAAGGGCCCGCCCAAGGTGCTCTCGCCGCACACGCAGTGGGGCCACGTCGGCGACAACGCGCGCGTCGAGTGCATCGTGGCCAGCGTGCCGCGGCCCGACAAGATCATCTGGAGCTACAACGGCCACGAGATCTCCAACTACGACCCCGACTTCTCGGTAAGTTCGCGACGGGGACCTGACGGCCCGGCCAGGCCGCCACCGCCTCCCGCCCCGCTCCGCTCTGTGCTCACTGTCTGACCTCCTGCCCGCAGATCCTGGACGACCCGCTGCCGGACGGGCTCAAGAGCACCCTGATCGTGAGGGAGTCGCAGCAGCACCACTACGGCCTGTACAACTGCACCGCCGGCAACGCGTACGGCAGCGTCACCGCGCACATCCACCTCCGCGCTCAGAGTGAGTAGTGTTCATCTGAAATACGAGGAGTCCACTCTTTGAGTTGGACTGGGCGATCCAGCAGAGTAGCCTTGCGGCCGGCCTTCGTCGACTGTCACACCTCTCGCCTGCAGTCAGCCAGCGGCCTGTGACAGTCGTCGGAGGCCGGCCAAGGTTCTGCGACCTGGTGTTCCTACTTAAATGTATCCTGGAGTTAGAGAACATGACTAATAAATGTTGAACGTGACTTGCGCAGAGTCGTACCCGCTGCTCATCATCCTGACGGGCGTCATCGGCGGCGTCGTGGTCATCATCGCCATCACCATGGTGGTGATCCTGTGCCAGCGCCGAGTCAAGAAGCCGCCAGGTGAGTCGCGGTGCCCCTCATCCCGGGCCTCCTTCCTCCTTCCGACCGACAGAAAAGGCGATATCATTTCGCTATTGCATATCCATTTTGTCGCTTTCTCGTGTCGCAAGCCCCACGAAAGCGGGCCAAAAAATGACAAGCGATATCAAAACGATATCGTTGCGAAATTGCCCAAATTTCGATGTCGCTCCATTTCTGGTGGCGCCCGGCAGATTGCTAACACCCCTGTCATGTTGCAGTCGACAACCACGAGGCGGAGAAGCAGTGCCGCGAGTCGGACCGCTCCTCCAACATCTCGGACATGAAGCTGGAGCTGCGGACGGGGTCCTCCGTGAGCCGGCCGGGCAGCGAGACCGGGTCGGAGCGCGGCGTCGGCGGCGTCCCGCTGGCGGGCCCCGTGCACCTGCCCATGGCGCTCAACGGCGGCGACCACGTCTACCGCTACTCCACCGAGTACCCGGAGCCCAGCTTCCCGCCCAAGACGCTCACCAAGGTGGGCACCCTTGCTCTGCAAATCTCACTGCCTAACGTAATTGCAGTTTAAACTAAAAAGCTAGAAGTTTCACAGTTTACCGAAAAAATGGTTGTATAGTTTGAACTGTCAAACTATATTGAAATTATGTTTTGTACTCGAAATTGTGAAACTGATAAGTCTGGCACTTGTGTCGATCCGAGGGCGGTGGTTTCATTGATCGCTTGTTTCAGGATGGGACGAACAACAACGGGTACGTGCCGTACGTGGACTACTCGCGCGACTACACGCCGCCGCCGTCGCTCAGCCTGCTGACGCCCCTGGACGCGCACGCGGCGCACCTGGGCCTGCCCGCGGCGCACGCGACGCTGTCGAGCCCGCTGGCGTGCGTCGACCCGCGCTACTCGGCGGCCTACGGCAACCCGTACCTGCGGACGTCGAGCGCCAGCCTGCTGCCGCCGCACACGAGCCCGGCGCCCAGCGCCAGCCCCAGCACGGCCAGCACGGGGCCCATCGGCGGGCTGGGCGCGTCCCCTGGGCCGCCCAACGGGCCGCCGCCGCCGCCGCCCTACAGCACGGCCGTGCGAGGCCTCAACGGCGCCGCGCCGCAGGTGGCGCGCCTGCCCAACTCGCCCACGTCCCAGTACATCGTGCCCAGCTCGCAGATGGCCACCATCAAGCGGGGGACGCTGGCCACCCACGTATAGCAGCCGGAGGGCTGGTGGACCTAAAGACACTTTGTTTTTACCAATATAT